GGACTCTGCAGTTTACACTCATCTACAGGCCAGGACTCTGCAGTTTACACTCATCTACAGGCCAGGACTCTGCAGTTTACACTCATCTACAGGCCGGTGGTCACTCTTTCAGGGGTGGAGATGTTCTCATCCTTGATAAAGGTAAATGTTGGTTTAAGAGAGGAGTCAAGGAAGCCATCTTTGTGAAGAAGAACCACCCGTCCTTAAACAGGGGTYGAGGCCTCRGTGTCCAGTTGTCCCTCTTCTTACAAGGCTGTTATTGTGAGTACGACTCAGCCCTCTGTCAGCAACGTGATAATCAGGACACTAACAATCAGACGTTAGGATGATGGTCCGCTTTTAGATGTGAACAACCAGTTTTGTGCGTCACCGGCAAACTTATTCAAAGGTTTTGTTTTTAGGGTTTCGTTACTTGATTTTAAAAAAAGGAAAAAACAGGGTTGTATTTGTTGGCAAATCCTTTAACTGAAGAAGTCTTTGGGATTAAAAAAAAACCAACAACAAAATGTTTCAACAATGAAGAATCCATCCCGAGGACCTGACTCAACTTTTTAGATTTTTCTTCTTGGATCATTGAGATGCATCAAGACATCACAACTAGTAACAATCAGTAATTAAATTAAAGAGTCATCTGCATATAAACAAGTTGGAATACTGACCTCTCACAGCTACCGTAGGTCCTGTAGGTAGCATCAGACGCTGCGCCTCCCAGTGTGTATCTGTTGAATGTCTCCAGCTGCTCATGCTTTATTAAATAAACTAAGTTCAAATTTAAGTTAGATAGTTTTTATTACAACACGCAACAGTTGGTAAACTATTAGTGATGTTTCACTAATACCCCGCTTGCACTCACTACAAACACATAAAACACCAAATAACCACAGCCGAAGCATCCACACCAATAAGTCAGGTGATGGGGCACATGACCCTCTATAAACAATAATGTGAGCTAAATAATGAAAAATCTGTTAGTGACTTATTTTAACATTTCATTTTACACTTGGCGCCCCATACAACAGAGCTAATCAAGTCTATTGTTAGGCGATGGCCCTCTTTTGCATGTGACTAACCTGTTTGTCCATGTGGAGGCAGTGCTTATAAGGCTGAGTTCACCTGAAACTCAGACTGAAGAAGTCTCTTGGAGGAGAGACAAAACGTTTCACTAATGAAGAACCCGTCCAGAGGACCTACTTTTTTTTTCTTTTTGATATTAGTAATGTTATGAATTCTGTGCCAAAAAATAATTTATACTTTAAGGCCAAATACCTGCAATACCTATCATAATACCCGACAATACCTGGTAGAAAATAACATTACAGACTTAGTTTTGTTTTAAAAAGAGGTCAAAGAATCAGTAAGTTTAATAATACAAAGAGTCAAGCACAGAGGAGAAGGGTTGATGATGTGGCCTTGTTATATTAGAAAATGTAAGCCCAGATAAAGATGGGCTCATGGGTCATGCAAGAAGAAAATAATTACTTACAATTTAAAAATATATACTGGGTTTTTACACAGGGTGTTTTTGTATTTTTTACAAAAAAATAAGTGACAATACGTTATCATGCTATGTTGTCTCTGAAACATTCACTCAAAATACATAAAACCCGATACTTTTCGTTCTACTTTCATAATTAAACTCTTAATATCAAAAGATGTTCGGCTTAATTTGTACTTTGATTTAACATGTAAATCCATTCTCGGCGACACCACACATCTGCACTCCAGGTAGAGACGGGGAGGGTGGGGTTAGCACATGAATAAAATGTAAATTTCAAAAGGACACATGCCTCATTGAACTGAAGGAAACGTGTGAGCAGGATTTGTGCTGAATAAGAAGAGAGAGAGATGTGAGGCTGGAAGAAGGAGAATCACATCGTTTTATTGGAAAACGTCAGAGAGCACAAAGGCGTCACAATAAAGTATGCAAAGTAGATCACATAATGAAGTTGGAGGTGAATATAAATTCACTTTAGTGAGCCAAAAGCTGATTCACTTTTTATATATTAAATATATTTTTTTAATCTTTAGAGTCTGGCACACAATAATTTAATGTATCTATCCAAAAATCATATTTCCCCCAGGATGAAATTCATAAAGCTGAGCGCACATTGGACTTACCGTTCTATCTGCAGATTAAAAATGACACAGATACCAGTGGGCTTGAGACCGAGTTCCCTGAATAAAAATTGAAGAAAGAATCCTATCTGTGCCGCGCCGCGAAGCACAATTAGTTCTTTAACAAGCATTTGGAGGAGCGCTCTGGTGCTCAGGTGGATAAGAGTCATGCACCGTCTTTAACGTAAGGCATTCGAACAAATTTGACTTTTTTATTTTTATTTTTTTGTTTAAAAGGTTTATGCTACTTTAAAATGCCTCCTGGTTCTAATATTTGCAGGAACAGAAGTAATGTGTGCAGTTCGAAGCAATCGTTTTGGGTAACATGCACAACTATCTACAGTAATTCTTCACAAGATATACAAGTACACAAAAAAAAAACTCAAGTTGGTGGGATTTACAGCACGAACATAAGTTAAACATCTGAGTCTGGGAAACTACAGCATGACCTCATATCAGAACATTGCACGTGTGTAASGAACGGTGTTTTCTTTAATCCACATGAACTTAGTTCCAGACAGGTTAGAACTGAGTCAACTCAGTGTGAATTCACTCGTTCACAACAAAAAGAAAAGACAACAGTTTTGACTTTGAGCACCAGTAACACTGAGGAGCTGGGTTATTGCTTCTGTTTTAAATAAAGACCGTCTCTGAAATCTAAAAGGCGCCATTCAGAACAAAACGTACAAAGCAAATGGTTCACTGCAGTTTGGAAACAACAAAAAACATCATCAATAGGCTGTTTGTGAAGCACAGATGCAAATAAGTTCACTTTGAGGTCACACATTACAGCAACACYAGGTTGGGAGTTGGCAACAAAGAATGGCCGACGTGTCACTGACACAGAGAACACGCGGCGCAGTTTGTGCACGTCTAAATTAGCAACACTTTGGGAATGATGTGATCCGATGACGCTGAACACAACCAAGTCACAGATCCTTGAAGGATTCGTGAACTTGGGCGCAGTCGTTCCCCAGTTATTGCTTTGCTCTTGACACTTCGTCACTCTGACAGGGGCAGAGGAATTTACTATATACATACTAAAAAAAGAACATACAGAAAAATAAAACAATCTGACATAAACACTTAACACGGCAAGTAAGAGTATCTGGAAACACGAAGGCTGGAAGAAGAGCATAAATGTCAGACTGGTAAGCTTTCACGCAACATCTGGGCTGCTGTTTTTAGATAAATGAACGACCTCGCTGCCTTCTCGCTACACATGTAACYTGGCAGGCCTGAACGAGAGGCAAGGAGAAATAATATAAGCAGGAATTTAAAGCACACGTGGGCKAAATAAGACCTGAGAGCCATGTTAACCTCCCACCCCGCCAAAAAATAAAAATAAATAAATAAATTCAAAAACAAAAAACCTTGAAATGAACAAACAAAATCCTGGGTTTTACTAACTTTTGGTGAAAGCTAAAACCTGGTCTGCCTTTTTACTGGTTTGAAAAGCGAGTAATTTTTTTTACTAAAATAGCCACAACCATGTTTTTAAAGTTGTTCAGACAGTCAAGAGCTGTTTAAAGTATATTTTTGCTTGCTATTGTTTAACGCAAATGTTAGCGTAAAGGCTAACGTTTAGAGTAAACGTTAGCTTAATGGCTATCGTTCAAAGTAAAAGTTAGCGTAAAGGCTAACATTTAGAGTAAACCTTAGCTTTAACGTTAGCTTAAAGACTATCATTCAACGTAAATGTTAGCTTAGAGGCTATCGTTTAACACAAATGTTAGCTTAAAGGCTAACGTTTAGAGAGAATGTTAGCTTAAAGGCTATCGTTCAAAGTAAATGTTAGCTTAAAGGCTATTGTTCAAAGTAAATGTTAGCTTAAAGGCTAACATTTGAAGTAAATGTTAGCTTAAAGATGCAGGTGTTTAAGGTGCCGAGACAGTACAGCATTTTTGACCAAGCATACTAATCTTGTCTTCATGGAAAAAAAAAAAAGAAAAAAGAAAAATCAAACAAAAAGCCCCCTARCTGAAACAATATTCCAGCAAAGCATTCAACAATCAGCTTTGTGTTGTCTTTTCGCAGTTGATGTCAAGCTGTGTGTGACTGATGCAGGCAGGATACTGTTTTAATTACGTTTGTAGCCCTGCAATCCAATTAAATAAGTAAAAATGGCCTTCTGGACAAAAGTTGTTGCCCACCTGTGCTTTAAAAAAATAATTCACTCAACCCTTAAAAGGGTGTTTAAAACAAGAAATCTGTTGGCAACACAGGTCACTTATTGAGGCCACAAAATGATATATACTGTACATCTATTCTATAAACCAAACTGCCCCGTTTAATTGTTCTCTCACAGCTTTAAAAAGTAAAGTTCAAAAACTGAGATTATCCACATGCAAGAGCAGCTGTTTGAACGAGCAAACGGGACGTGAACATGAAAATGTGGCATTCAGGAAGCTAGGGCTAAAACGTTCAGTCCACCCTCACTAAACCATGCTAAATAATTACAATAACGAAACAAAACAGACGTTTTCAGCCTCACACTAACCAGCTGAGTCACCCAGCGGTTACAGAACAGGACCTTTCAGCTGCAGGTCACAAACTGGGAAAGTTAACAGTGTCCTTCAGCTGTGTTTGCAAGCTGTGAAATACGTGTCGCTCCAAATGTTTCCCAGGGCAAACAAGCTGGCGAGTCTGAGGCCGCAGATCACAGCGTTTGTGAGCCGTAAATACGCCCCGGAGGGCAGTGAGGGGGATTGGATCGGTCTCCTTTTCTTCACTGTATATATTTAATCAGGACAGTGTGCAATTAGAACATGAATGTAAGAAGAAAAAAAAAAAAACATTTGATGCACTGCACCGCCTTGGACTAATTTTCCTCTGTATTTCAGCCACTCCGTCACTTCTCCTGCAGCAGGGCAGGGATGTTGATGTTCCAGCCGATGGCTTGCCGGTCAAAGCCGCAGGTGAACAGGTTGCACGACTGGTTCTCTTCGTTCCACGCCGTGCAGCACACCATCCGCCGGTGACCCTGCGCAAACACACACAGAGACATTTATTTATTTATTGCTTAGGGGAAAAAAAACAGAGAAGATTGCTTCTTATTTGCTGTATTTGTTACCATTCGGTTGCTGCGTGGAAGCCTGGCCAGCCTCACGCCGCTCATGTCAAACAGACGCACTTGTCGATTGTCGTGTGGCAGAGCGATGATCCTCTGGTTGGCAGACACACTTAACCTGAAAGAACAGAACGAGGCACGCTTTGAAGTGAAGCCAGGTTTTAAATAGCTCACCTGAGTTCTGTTGTAGGGCTGCAAATAGACATTTAAGACGTTGTAGGTCATTTTATTAATGAACAGGCCAACAGGCTAACAGGCTGTCAATATGTGGAGTTACGCTTTGAAATGCACCAGGATTCCAGCGGTCCCTGTTTTGTGCCAGAGGAGTCTAATTCTGGTTCTTAAGGGCTGCCATCCTGCATGTTGTACTCGTTTCCCTGCTCCAACACACCTGATTGAATTACCTCTTCCAGGTTCAGCAGAAGCCTTTTAATTGTTCATTTAAAATCAAGTGAATAGCGACATGAGGACCAGGATTTGGCGCCACTAACAAATAGTTTGCTGGATGAAAAATTGTCTCAAAGATTATTGTGATAAACAATAATGTTTGTTCCTTTTCTATTGTTCTTCCTCTGGCTTCATAAAAGAATTGTCAAGAACAAGCCAGGTTTATTTCTGACTACACTCATTTTCTAATTTATTGTATTTGATAAATATGAAACCAGTGGTTCTGGAGTCCTTTATCTACAGAGTTSCACCTGTAAGGCCCACCAGTTTCTTCCTCTCACCTGTTCACAGCTGAGTCGGTGCGGATGGTTGTTATRGGRGACCTCATGTTCTTCAGGTCCCACACTTTGACCGTGCGATCGTCGCTTCCTGAGACCACATTGTCTCCCACCGTAAACACAGCAGACGTCACGGTGCTGAAAATAAACYGCATGCAGACACGGATGAGACAGGAGTGGCTAAAAGAAATGAGCCTCCTCTCTCAGATTCCTCAGCACATATCAGGAATAGAGAATAACATAAAACTGACATTATAATAATACTGCAGTGAGAGAAAACCACAGCGATGACTCTCTGTTGTTCCTGATTTTAAAACGTTACAAGTTATCATAAGGAAAGACATTTTGTCAGGATCTCACTCGCACTCTGTTGTTATCACCTTTGTGTAGCTGTCAGGAGAATGTGWCAGGTTAAAAATGACTGGAACATTCACACCGTCAGAGGTGTTTGAGCTGTTAAGATGCAGTGAGAGTCGATTTCTGCWTTTATTTATTTATTTTTTAATGGCTCGCAAAGTTTACAATTTGTCCCAAGGTCATTCATTAACTACAAAAAGCCAAATGGCACAAAGCCACACAATTACGCAATTTTCAGACACCTTCATGGAGTGATGGATTGTGTGTCACTTCTGGAAAACTTTACAAACCTGGCATAAAGAATATAGTGACTTCTAGTGGCTCAAACTTTAAATTTACTGACTTTCATCTCAATCTTAGTTACGGTATAAATGAAAAGAATATTGTTATTAATATTATTGCTATTTTCCATCCATTCTTTCTGCCCACGTCCAGGAGTTACTGTGCAAGAGGAAGTACGCCCTGGACAGATCACAAGTCTACATGGAGACAACCGTTCATGCTTTCACTCCCACCCAGGCACAACTTTAAACCATCAATTAACTCAACATGCACGCTTTTGGTCTATAGAAGGAAACAGGAGTACCCGGAGAAAATGAAAGTGTAAACAGAGAGACAATACAAGCTGCCAAGAGAGGTCTAAGGCTGGGATTCAATCCTGCCACTTTSTCAATGAGAGGTAACAGCTCTACCCCCACAACATACTCAAATGTGTTTTTTTCTCTGTGTGTGTGTGGGGGAGGGGGGGGGCAACTTTAGACCTCATCACTGATACAGATCAGCCTTCTTAGTCTTAAGATGAAAAAAAAATGTCTCCAAATGAGTTGTTCTGTGAAAGGGTTAATCCAATGATAATACCTTWAATAAATGAACAAGAGACAAAMGTGTSAGTTTTCAGACACTCCTTTYCAAAAGAGGGAGAAGCTGAAGGCACCTGATACTCAGACAAAGTTCCCTCAAGTTTTCAAACTTTCTGTAGCAGAGTGTTGCTTCTACTAAAGCAAAGGGGCGGGGAAACAGCAAGGTATCTATTTCTAACAAAAGTTAGCTCACCRAGCAATGAAGTAAACAAAAGGCAGGATACCATTTTTGGTGATGTGTTTCTGCTTGTGCAGACARAAACAGCTCACACAGAAAACACGGAATTTACAACCTTAAAACAAAAACAGCTCACGCAGCAGTGGAGAAAAACTTACAACTTAGCTGTGATGACAATGCTTCAAACTTGCAAAGTGAATAAAAAGTATAAAGAACATAACTGGAAATGTTAAAATCTGACACTGTTTTTCTAAAGTTTATTTTATATATTTTTTTCCAAACCTAAAAAGACACTTTAAACCATTCATCTTATGACAACAGCTGTGGGGAAGACGAAAAGCAAGACGTGCATCTCTATTCTTCTGRAGCTGAAATGCTCCGCGTGAAACAATTATTACATATATTTCCCACATTTTCACTCTGTTACTGTATTTCAGCCTCTCTATTCTTTTGTTTCTGTTCTTTTATGAAGACTAAAAAAACTGGATGGGTTTGATTAAAATACATGGTTGGATAGTGTTCCTTTGCACACACACACAAGCACACTCAGACACACACAGCTCTGCCTTGGGTGCTACATCTAGTCTTTCCAGCTAAAAAGGACCTCCCTCCTAATTCAAATTGACATGGCATTAAGGGCTAATTAGCGGACCAAACTTGTTCCCATTAAAGAGGCCGGGGCTGAAGGAAACTGCTGTGTGGTTACAGGCACCTTCTGACTTTGCTGGGTACAGCCCACCTGGGAATACAAGAGGAGCAGAGAGAGAGAGAGAGACGGAGGGGGAACGACAGGAGCGGAGCTGGGTGGGAGGTGTGCATGGAGCGTAATCAGACGAGGTAATTGATTAAAAGGTTGATTAAGGTTAAAGGGTTTTAGAATGAGTTTGAGGAGGTGAGGTGGAGGGGGTGGGAGGSGTAGGTTCAGTGGTACTTCATGCTCTGCTTGTCTCTAGCAGCCAAGGTCAGGACTTGTTCAGAATGAAAACTAGAGAAGGTTGAAAGGGAAAAAAAAATGAAATGTTTCTTCAGCCAAAAAGAAAACATAAAATTAATTGAACAGATAACACATTTACTTTAAGTCTGATAGAACAGTTTTATGATCATTCAGAAGAATAAAGGTTAAAGTGAAATGCTTTTTTTTACAATAATACATTTAAGTTTTTTTTTTTATTTTGTATTAGTTTCAGATTAGTTATTATTTAAGTATTTTTCTTCTTTTCTGGTAAAACTTGTTTTGCGTATTAAACCATGAGGAATTTTGCAAATTTCTTACAAGTTGTGTAAAAATAAATTCTACTTATTAAAACCTTTTCTAAAGTTAGATTTTTTTTTTTTACCTCAAAACATAGGCTATCATACCTCTTTACACTTATTTATTTACTGTTATTTATCCAGGCAAGTCCCATTGAGATCTCAGATCTCTTTTTCAAGGGAGGCCTGGGCCTGAAGGTAACCTATTGTACTTATTTGTTTTCAGGGTGGGGGAAACCGGAGTACCCAGAGGAAACCCACGCTAGCACGAGGAGAACATGCAAACTCCACCCCAGGTCCGAACCGGGGATCGAATCCAGGACCATCTAGCTGTGAGGCGTCAGTGCTAACCACTGAGCCATTGTACCACCAAACACCAATACCAGTAATGTACCAATAGGACCCCAATCCTATACTTGRGGATTTCTCCCCCACTCACCCACCCACCATCATACAGTACAGAGCAACATCTAGAGCAGCGGTCCCCAACCTTTTTAGCGGCATGGACCGGTTTATTGTCAGACATATTTTCACGGACCGGCAGGTATGACGGATGAATACAACAAAATAAAACTATAGCCTATGACCAACACAAGAACTAATATTTAGCAAATATAATAATAAACATCAATCCATTAGGAGCGTCTTCCTGACATGTGCCAACGACTTTTCCCKTTTGCCTTTGCAAAGAAACTTTCCAAAAATGTCTGTTTTCACTGAGACAAGCATCTTGATGCATCAAGAGTGAGTCATAGACGGACGTAACATAGAGAATCCGGTTGTTTTTCCAAAATAAAACATTGTTCAGACTCAAATAATAAATACGACGAAAATAATTTAAGTAATTTATTCTTTCTGTGCGGCCTGATATCAAACGACCCACGACCCGAGGGTTGGGGACTGCTGATCTAGAGCTTTGAGGAAGTCCGTGTGGATCTCATTCACCCACGGAGCCCTGCCACTGTGGACCTTTTAACCCTCAAGTCCTCTGACTCAGCTTCCTCTATGGAGGACTTGTTGGTGGGGTTGAGAGGGTCCGAGAAGTATTCCTTCTACTGCCTGACAARAGTGCTGGMTGAGGTCAACAYCACCCCCGCTCCATTGAAAACAGTGTTGGTWAAGGGCTGCTTTCCCAGCCAGAATCATCTGTGTCCGATGGAGTCCTCCTTCAGRTTAATGGCCTCTCAGGCTCAGAGGTTCACCACCAGGTTTGAGGACGACAGCCTCGAGAAGCACAAACAGCCTTATGGCCACAGTTCAAAYCAGACGCCTCGACAACACAGACGTGGAACACGGCCCACTCAGACTCAATGTRAACGTTTAAGTACAGAAAAAATATATCAAAGAAACTCATCATTTAACTGAGTGTTTAAGTCCAAAGCTTGAAAAAGGTAAAACATAGATGAAACAGCTCAGGTACGACTTTGTGGTTTTGAAGCGGTGTGTTAATTCTGTTGTGCTGAAGCAAAGCTGACAGTCCCTGAGAGCCTGATAAGTGCTGGTGTATTCCTCCAGAGACAGGACGCCAAATCTGCATGCAGCTCGTCTCACACGCAGACACATCTGCAGACACGCTCGCGTTCCTTTCAAGTGCAATCAAAACGTCTGAGGAAGCCGTCGATGGCAGCGGAGACAAACYTGACACGGCATCCCGTTTGTAGAACAAGTCCGCTGTCATCTCTGGTTTGCTCTTGGACATTTTTGTTAGCTCACGCACGGTTGTCGTTATGCTGCAATTATGGTGGGGAGATGGGATGCAGTGTGTGTGTGTGTGTGTGTGTGTGTGTGTGTGTGTGTGTGTGT